GATTTACGATGCCCGTTAAGGGTCAATACAATCATAACAGACAAGCGGGCTGGCCAGTTTTGCGCAACTGCCTTTGGTCTATTCCAGAACTAATTTATGGTGAACTACACTGCTTTTGATTTAAAGCTGAGGCATTTGTAAATTTTATCTGAAATATCTTTCCCCGCCCAAACTGGACTGCCTAATTACATTTGTATCCTCCACATCAATTCAAGAATCAAACACACGTCCTCCCACCCAAATCCTGAACCATAGGTATCACAGTAAAAGATTAAGCAAATGTGCGTACACCTAACTCTGGGCATAGCGTGGAATGAGAGAGAAAAATGTGACTCATTTTTAATAAGGACCTACCACTGTGAGGAATATTAACAGCTGATTTGCTAATCCCGTTTGCTGATTTAAATTGAGGAGGATGCTGTTCTCAGATCAGATAAAGCAATGCTGGCCAGAATATTGAAACATACAGCCACCTGTACATCATCTAACCCTCTTAATGTTGGGCAGAGTCACAGGGGAGCTGGAGCCTATCTTCGTGAACAATCGGCAAGAGGCAGGAAGACACTACTCACTTATACATTCACACCTAAGGGCAACTAAGGGTCCCCAATTATCCTGACCTGCGTGCATTTGGACTGGCAGGAAACCTAGGTACTTGGAGTAAACTCATGCAGGCAGAGGGAGAATATGCTACTTCCTCACAGAACGACCCAATGCCGAATTTGAACTCTATTTTCTTACCGATAGGCAACAGTGCTACACACGACAACAACCTGCCAGATAAACAACACAAAATAATACTTCATTTTGATGATAAAGGGTTACCTACTGCTGATGCATTATAGCCTGACCATTGCTCTCTCATTTATTACCACCTGGAATGTCATTGATTTATGAATCTAGGTCTTTTCTTTACGGACTAATTGTTAGTACCTCTTGCATCCACCATATTGGACACGAGACCCCCAAACTTACAGCCCAGTGTACGCTTCACTGCGCAGCTCCGCATGAGAACTAGCGTTAAAAGCCATGAAGAGCCTGGGAACTGCATGCGGGTTCCCTCAAATTGTGAGTGACACGCTGGCTTGTGCGACGGATGTTTATTCGCACTCAGAAAAGCTAATGGTAACCAGTTGGCACTGGTAGGGTCTTTAGGAGAACTTCTTTTTTGAGAACAATATTTGGTTTGGGAATATTCGCTGGCCTGCTGTACGTCAAATTGACTTTCTCCCCCGTAATTGCAGACTTCTCATACGCCATCGAAAAACAGTTTTGCTTTTCACTCAAACCTCTGTCGCTGCCCCAGCGGTGACGATACAGCCATTAAGGAAATGGCACCTGAACCTTCACCTTGAAAGCAAACCACAGGCAAATGACTAACCGAACTTATATGGCGAAAAAAAGGTAAAGTGTTACTCCTTTGCACCTGACAGGCCTGTGGGGTAGTTAAGGAAGAGCGATGACAAGGATAACAAGAGTGCTTTTTTTTTTTCACTTCCTGTATAAGCCCTCGGCAAACAGAAACAGGCAGAACTCACGAGCCTCCCGAGAAGAAGGCCCTCGCGAGGCGACTTCCCCACAGAGGAGTCGTTAATGTCAAGAGGTTCCATAAAACATCAACGCACTCCTAGTGCTGGTCGCCCGCACTGACGTCATGCCATCGAGAGGCCCACAGAGCTTCAACCTGGGTGTCAAGACCCACTCTGAAGGACCTCAAGACTCAACAGGGTGATCCGACAGGCACCTAGCACTGGGTTAAGGGGCCACCTCTGCCAGAATGTGTGCCAACCGAAGCCCGGCAGTTCGGGCAGAGGCCTCCCTCTTCGCTTTTTGCGTGGAAAATAAATAAATAATGCTCCTTCAGGCCAGACCAGTTCTGACAAGCTCAGTTGACTCCGAAGCCAAGTAGCAAAACATAACATTACGCCACAGCGTGTTAGCTTAATTGATTTTCCGATGAGCTCATGACCCCGAGGTCTGTGGAGAGCAGGGCAGGTGTTCTGCTCGGGAGACGGGGGTTAGCTCAGCCTCGGCTGCGCACCAAAGAAAGGCCACGCCACGGGCACCTCGGGGGTGACGCCGCAGCCTCGAAGCCTGGGAATCAGCCGTCCGGGAGGGAGGGAAGGTCGACTGACGCCGGACCCCGAGAGCAGAAGCGAGAGGACTCATTTCCTGTTCAAGTTCTGGAGGAGGACAAGCCTTTTGATATCCTGTGGCACCATCTACCCGGAACACCGAGCTCTCATGCAGTGCCTTTCATTTCAGGCAAAATACTGAGTCAGCAGTGTGTTTGCGCATATGCACCTGAGTGCATGTGTCTGAGAGCGTTTCAAAGGGTGACCAACAAAAACATCTCAGCTGATGTGTAGGACCTCCTGGGCACCTGAGGGGGTATGCCATCAGTGTACTGTCCAGTTCCATAGCAACTCATTCGTAACAAAATAACATCGTTGAAAAATGTAAAACAGAAATATGTCACTCACTGACTGTGAGATGGTCCTAATGATGGAAGACAAAGTCCAGCTCAACTTGACGAAGGGCATCACCCTGTTCCCTTTTTGTGCTTATCAGTACAGCAGGGAAAATCTCCCGCCACCTCCCCATCACACAATATTATTTCTCATCCTTTTCAGTTGGGCAGACTACCTTATGACTCTGGCCTGATATGACTGAAATTCTCCTTTCCTTGAGCCAGCTCGAGGTTTCAACAATAATAAATGCACATTGCAGCAATGTCCCCCACACTGACATCCAGCTGAAACCACATACGCACATGTATGGAGACACTGTAATTAAGCCTGTGATGGGTGATGTTGACTGTAGAACAAACTAAGGTATTCCGGAAAGTACCGTGTTTAAACAGGCATGAATCTGCAGGCACAAAAAAAGCACAGACACACAGACCCCCACACAATGAGCAGGCTTTGAGAGCGCAGTAAAGGCCATGGTCTTCTTGGGAGGTGCGTGAAAGCAAGGTTGATTCATGCGGGCATGTGATGCGATGTTAGCGAGTGAAGAATGAAACAGTAGTGTGTGTGTGTGTGTGTGGGAGTGGAAACAAACATCTGTGCACCAGGCTGCCGTTACCCGTGTCTGCATCACGGACACCAGCCGCACGCGCCGCCCGAGACCCCTCAGTGTACCTCCCGCACCGACTCGCAACCCGCATCCAACACCCGACGAGAGGCAGCGAGTCAGCTGATTGGCCAGTCGGGGAAGCAGCCCCTGCATTCAATTAGGAGCAATTTCACCCGCAACGATTTCAGCTCCAGTTTGCGGCGCTGTGTGCCAAAATGATCTCACTTACAGATCAAAGATCCCCGTTTAGAGCACTATAGGGCCTTGCATTGCAAATTACTCAGGAAGCTCTTAAGAACAGAGCCTTGGGCAGAACACAAACAAGAGCCGGGGTCAGCTGTACGCTCCAAACAACGAATCAGACTCTGATATAACCCAAAAACAGTGATGTAAAAACATGGATCCTCATTCGACCCATATTGTAATCTACACACATACGGGGTAGATTAAATCTATATGCTCTCTCAAAGACGATGCGAAGGCCGTCAGTATTATCAGACAACAAAACTGCAAAAACACACTTGTTCCTGGGGACTGCACCGCAGAACCATACACTGTAGTAACGGCAGGGATCAACTACCAGGTTACCCATTCACTTTCCTCAGGCTCGGTGACCAGCATTTCAGCACACGGGGGAGCAGTTTTTAGGCCCCACCATGATGTAAAATTTGAAGCCAGATTCAGCACAGTTTGTGTGACACACAAAGCAATGTAATCGACTCCTTATTCACCCACAACATGTTTCTCAACTGGCTAAAAACCCAGGAGCTAAGCAAATTTGTACACGAGGAGATAATATACAAAAGGGATAAAAAGCACATTCCGATCATTCGGATTCGTGTGGGAGGAAAAGTTCGACTAAAGCTGCGAAACGCGTGTATTCGCGTCTTTGCATCGACTTTGAATGTAATCTGTCGTGCGAAAAATCTGTTTCGCGTCCGGTGTGAAAGCGGCTTTAGTATGTTTATAATTTAGTTGTAGTTGATTTGGATGGAAGTACAGGTACGAATGGCCAAAATGGGAAGCAGCTGCAGTGGCACTAATGAGCAATATCCGTCCCCAAGAGCAGGAGAAGAACCTAGAAAACCAAGTTAGATTCTGGTTGCTTTTGCGTCACTCTGTACTGTGAGCTTGAAGCTCTTTGTTCGGGTTGGAGTGCAGTCCAGAACGCAGGCAAAGGGGAGCAGCAGAATGAGGTCACCTGCATTGAAGCAGCTCATCCCCATTCCCCATTCACACAGCAGCAGGATTAATCTCCCTCACAACAAGCGGTGCCAGGGACAACATAATGCATGCAGTATGTTTCAGTGCTCTTGTATTGGCTCAGTTAAAAATATCAAAGTGACACTATCGTTAACTCCTGGATAAGCTGTTTGTGAATTTGGGACCGGTCATCCATGCCAAGATCATATTTATCTTACCCCCTGTGGTCGTGCTAACGGCAGATTAACTTATTGATTGATTTATTGATTAGTGAGTGATGCTCGAGTCTCATCACAACACTCCTTCCTAAGCTTCACTTATCCAGGAGTAAAAATGATGGACCTTTTCTCTCTGTATCTGATGAACTATTAGATCCCAAATGAGATGCCGCACATCAAATTTCAACAAAATCTGATGAAAATTGATTTTATGGCCATTTGAAATTTTTTTACGTGACTCCTATTCATTTATCTAAAATAAGATAAGATAAGATACACTTTATTGAACCCCGTGGAGTAATTTGTCCTCTGCATTTAACCCCTCCTATAGTTAGGAGCAGTGGGCAGCCACAGTGCAGCGCCCAGGGACCAACTCCAGTTCTAAAGCCAGTTCCTTGGTCAGGGGTACCTATGTTGCATATTTTTGTGGGTGGGGGAAACCGGAGTACCCGGAGGAAACCCCTGCGAACACGGGGAGAACATGCAAACTCCACACAGAAAGGCCCCAGGCCTGATTCGAACCCACGACCTTCTTCCTGTAAGGCAATAGTGCTAACCACTACACCACCGTGCCTCCCACACTGCTAAGGAGCGTGAACACCCCAAGATATAGTGTTGCATGTAAGAGGATGCAGAATAGAAAACGGTTTTCTTCTGAGCTCGGTTTGAACTCAATCCGACCATTAAAATAGAGGTTATGGTGAAGAAACATTTCTGAACTTTTGCCAATATCTTCATATAACTTTGGCCCACTTTTTTCTAAATTAAACTTCTTGTGTTCTGGACTATGGTCATCCTGCGTATCAAGTTTGGAAATGACTGTTGCAATATAACAGGCGCTAAGTCGCTAACAAACAAACAAAAAAAAATACACAGAACTAAAAACAATACCTCCCCTTGGATTATCCAGGGCAAGGTAATCATTCCAGTATCTCTCCACATTATATTGCAAAATACACTCAATTTGAAGGGTAAAAACCATTATTCAGTTATTCCAGAACATATTCACATTTGTGAAGCTTAATATTTTTCTGAGGGAACTGGACAGCAGGCTCAATAGTGCTAAAACAGTAGACAAGCCAAAACCTTGTCAAGCCAAGGGTCCTGAGTTGCAGCACCACAACACTCTGCAGCAGATGCCGAACAAGAAACAAGACTGGGTCCGCGAGAAACACCAAACCGGTACTTGGTGCCTTTTCATGCTCCTCTATAAGACACCACTGTAAGTAGTTGGACCTTTGAGTCCTTGAGTCATTTGGAGAGAATGGGTTCATGCTGAAGACGCTTAAAGAGGATTTGTTGATGAGATCCAAGTCACTGGCATCTGGGTCATATGGGCAGCCATAGTGAAATGTAGTCTTCGCCTCCATGATCCGTTTTTTGAATTCAGCTCTCTCTGGCTCGTGGATCTAATGTCCAACGTTTAAGCGTTTAAGACCACTCATGATTGCCACTGATACTGTGTCCATTTTCACATTCTGTTCCTGAAAACAAGCCGTTGGGCATCAGCTGTTGAGGGAATACTGCCATCGCAGTCACTCCATAAGCATAACCACAGCTGGACCGGCTGCTGTTCATCAGGGCCTAATCATCAAGGACACAGTCAATGACCATGTAGGGGGAACACTTTAAGGGCTACGCACACTCATTTCAATCAACAACCGAAATTCCCGGGAACTTCTCCAAAACTTGCTGCCGAGTGTCTGCTCTCCTCCCCGCTTACTAAAATAAAATGACCGATTTTGTGACAGAAGTCAGAAGAGATTACGACTTTCAAGGCGTCGAGATAAAGTAACGATAAGCTTCCAAGGCAGAAGAAAATATTTATCGCCGGTTGGACTTGAATGCGCACACACTCAACCACAGCCTGTTATCAAACTCCATTCCACGGATGATGAATACAGCCACCTGCAGGGTGCTGTATATTTACCACTATCAAGGCTTCAGAATTAAGGAGTCACGGTGCTATATCTTCAGTATTATGGAGACCCAGGGCAATGATTTGGCAAATACAAAGTTGTAAATTCAAACTGCCCCAAAATCTAATTACATCAAACTACGTGTGTGTTTATGGAAGGAATGTTTGATATGCAGAGAGAATAGCAAGTCAAGGATGTACAACTGTTGCACAATGCCTGTAATTACACCTTTAGATGTCTTTTAGAACTTGGACTTTTTATTGTGTTGGGATACACAGGAAAGTATTGGTATTGGGCTGGAGAGAAAGTGTTTTGACTTCAGTGAGATAGTATAGGGTCGTTCACTAGTGGACCAAGTACACCACCCAGACTTCATTCAAATGTCTGGAGGTAAGCAGTCCGCCTGGAGAAGACCGAAGTGACAGCATTGCATCTGCAAACACCAATCTCTTTAAATAGATGAAGGTATAACAAAACAGAAGCAACACAAAGTTGACGCGTACAGAGGGGTCCCAGATCAGGAAGCCTAAAATGGACTCTTCTCTTGAAACTTCAATCCTCTGCTGAACACATTAATGTCTAGACCACATGTGTCAAACTGGTGCCATGGAGGGCCAAGAGGCTGCAGGTTTTCATTCCAACCAAAAATTCCACCAGGTGATGTCACTGATTACCTCACCTTCAAGCAGAGAGAAGAGACCAATCAGTGAAATCACCTGGTGGAATTTTTGGTTGGAATGGAAACCTGCAGCCTCTTGGCCCTCCATGACATCAGTTTGACACCCCTGGTCTAGACTAACAAAATTCTCCATAAAATTCTCCACGGATCATCGCCATCTTCAGTCGGAGTCCAGTCAGACAGCAGCCCACATAAGAGCATACCTCAGATTAAAAGATTAAAACATTACGCCTTTTGGGATGTTTTTTTTTTTTGAAAAAGCAGCACCTTTCCATCTAGTTATAGATGCCTTGTTTCCAGACACGAGTCAGAGGCACAGACTGTGTAAAACGGGGATCAGAGGCCAGGGCTTCCAACAGACCCAGTGCTGCTACCTTCCCACTTAGCAACTGCATTGCTTCTAGGGCAAACACACTGACCCGGTTCTCCTGAGCTGGGGAGCGTCTCCCAAAAGCTCAGTTGTAAGTTAGCAACTCACATAGTTCATCCATTCACAGTCAATGGACCCAACTATGTAAGTTAGCATCTGTGATTTCGGTAGAAACGCACCCCTGGTCCACAGTCTCTTATCATGGGGATCTCATAAACAAGTGGACGTTCTGAGCTGGATTCGCTCAATAAAACTTAATGTTCCAGTTTGATGGCTGCCTGAGGCGCAGAAGGCATCTGAAACCCCCAGACACCCACCCAAATCCTCTGTATCAGCGGGACATAACTCATCGCTTCAACCCTTTCAGCGACATGGCGCTATCTCCAGAAAACTCAGGCCTACTAACTTCACTTGAATTACACAAACATCTTCAGAGAGAGAAAACGGTGAGATCCCAACAGGGCCGAGATAAAATCATTTCCTCCCTAAACCTTTATCTGGCGCTTTTAATTGCGAGCTCAGGACGTCTAATCTCGAGCGGCTATTAGCGCGGGAGGGTGCCTTTTATCTCCGAGGTTTGTATACGAGCACAGGAAGGAGGGCAGGCTAAGCCCGCTCGCAAAAAGGGCCGCATGCCGCCCCAGTATTTACAGGCTGTTTATGTGAGCAGGCACTAGATGACGTGGGGCCCCCGGGCGGCAGAGTACGGGAGTTCAGCAGGTGCGTGGTGGGTCATACCACACACGGAGCATGGAAATACTCCTCCCTGAAGGCATCACAAGCAGCAGGAGAAGAGTGATGAGGGTAACTACTGTGTTGAGACGAAGCTGCCTGCCCGCGGATTCCATCCACTGCATCAAAGAGCACCGTCCCGCTCACGGCCAGGGCTAAAAACGGGGAGGGAGAAGAAGGTTCTGGAGTGTGTGGCTTCCTGAGGGCTGCCATTTTTACAGAAGAGAGAGGACCCATGGGTCAGGGCTCGGCTGCTTGTTCCCGTGTTCCCTCTGTACCAAGTGCCATCTATACGGTTTGTCCTTTCACAGTGTGAACGGATCCGATCACAGTCAAATCTGCTAGATGAGCAAAGCAAGGTCTCGTGATGTCCGTGAAACCAGAAAACGCTCCTACAAACTCCAAAAGAAATTAAATGCGTTTTGCAAAAATATCTGTCAATGAGCACCATTAAAATTACACTTAGTTAGAATTTTTTTCTTTCAAAATTTAAACAAAACCCAGGGTTCTTTCCATCCTAAAAGTAATCTTGGAAGAAACTCGTCAAACCTTGCCAGAACTACTACCTGATTTTCCAAAAAAAATGTGAAAGATGTTTCTTTTTTTTAAATCCATTTAAGTAAAACGAACCCTGTGGTTTGGGTTAATCCTAATTAAGGAAATCCTGAGCCGAAAAAGTCAGGAATGTGATACTAAATCAAAACAACAATTTTTCAGAGTAAATGAAAAGGCAGTTTAAAGAAAATTAGAAATAAGTAAGTGATTCTCAAACACACTGTATAAGAAGAATTTGTCTTCATTTGCAGAGAAAAGGCCTCCAAATTTCTTTTGTCAAACACAAAACACCGCAAAGAATTGGCTGGCACCCCGACACAGCCCATTCGTTTTGACGAAAGGTGGTTTACATGGCTTTGTCTCGGGAATGCGACGCGAAGACAGAGCAGTTAATGGCCGGGTATAAACAATGACACATTGGGCACATATTTTTTTCACCACTGGCACCCACTTACGTGAGACAGGAAGTGGTTGCCGTCCTTTAACATTACGCAATACTAGCAGTGCAAACTCGTCACCGGAGCTCTCCCAGCACGATGTACTCGGCTGGCCCGCAGTACTGGTTTGGATGTGACCTGTCCTCCCAGCGCTAAAACAGTGGTCAGAACAAACCACCTGTCCAGGTCGAAACTGCTGAGCTGACAGCTGCCGTTGAGGGATCCTGGCTGTCCTCTGGAAAAACAACACTCGCATCAAAGAAGTTCCAGTGAACAGTATAACCCCAAGTGAACCATCCCAAACATCACAGGGCTTTGTGAGCGAGGCATCACTCAGTGGTGAGGGAAGTCTGGACTGAGAAGGCCAGAGACAAGCCAAATTCCCCAGCCAAATCCAGCCCTTTTGAGAGCAACAGGTAAGTTACACTCATCGCTAAGGTCCAGATATAACAGGACTGCCCAGTGTCCAGGGGCTGCAATACACCAGCATACTGCTTTTATAGGGTTTGGACACTCAGTATCTGTGGAACCCGTTTGAACCAAAGTAAGATGAGAATTTGGGACCTTCAAGTGGCTCTCAGCTGAAACATTCATCTGGGAACCTTGTAGTCGGGTGTTCGAATCCCAGCCACGCCATTACCGGCTGGCTATGGCCTGACGTCCCCATGGGCGAGGCAGCAACTGACTGAAGCCTTGCCAGGGTAATTAGGGGTTGAGCTGGATAAATTTGCTCTCTTGTTGCCACTCCTGTTCGGCCAGGCACTTGTAGACATAGGAGCCAAATATACCCTGACTGCATTATCCTCCGGCAGCATAGGTAGCGTGCCATTGATGGTAATGTGTAAAAAAAGGGAGGGTCTGCCATGATATCGATAGCTTGGA